GTCCAGTTTAATGTTTTTCTTTATGCAATGATGTCTTGTGCTTTTGATGCCTCTTGTGCTCACGCTGTTCGTGTGGAGCACCGTATTGATGGTGGGCTGCTGAACATCCGTCGTTCCGATTCGAGAACGCTAGTCTGTGAGACAACTATGAGTATGTTGCTGTTTGCTGACGACCGTGCGTTGTTTGCACACAGCGCTGATGAGTTACAGCACATGATTGATGCTCTGGCTCCGGCAGCGGCCACATTCTGGCTCGCGAGCAACACAAGCCAAACTGTCTGTCTTTCAAGCCGTAGTCGAAGGTGCAAGCTGCAAATTGCCGCAAATTAGTATTGGTGACGAAGTATTAGAAACCACCTCCAGCTTCTGCTACCTAGGGAATGATATTTCTACTGACTAGCAGCTACACAGTGAGCTGCGTATCCGCGTCTCCAAGGCAGCGGCGGTATTAGGAAAGCTGAAATCCCGAGTGTGGAATAACCATCAGGTTACCGCTGGCACGAAGCTGATGCCATAAAAATCCAAGACGCTGTCCGTTCTTCCATACGGCAGTGAAACGAGGACGATATACCGACGAGGTGTGAGATATCTTGAGCGGAATAATCAACAGTGTCTGCGACTGATGCTGCGCATCGGTTAGTACGACAATGAAAACACGGAGGTGTTGCTGTGAGGTGGAATGTATGTAGTAGATTGCATAATTCTTCTAAGGCGTCTGAGGTAGCTCGGTCATGTGTGCCGTATGTATTTGACGCCGATACCGAAACAGCTCTTATATGGTCAGCTGTGTTGCGAAGCGGCATGTGAGGAAACCGAGGCTTCGTGACTAGGATATGATCAAGGTGAGCCTATCACATCCTAATTTTGGTCTCAGGTGTTGAGAATCGAATGCGGTTGACAGGCGTGCATGGCGTGATCAGATTACTTAGGTAGTTCCCGAGGTGCAGGAGGAATTTCTCGTGCATGCGGAGAAGAAGCGGCAACTGCGGAAGCGACAGGTGTTGATGGAGTGCACTGCATCGACGTCGTGCGTATGGTACTGTAGCAAATGCGGTCGCGAGTGCCTGAGTCAGGCAGGCCTAGTGAGCCTCGAGCGAGACCACTCGGGACCAGCATCAAAACGACAACGGGTCCTGCAGAGAACGTAAGCAGGACCAGTGCAGCGTTGGTAGGTAGGCTGGATACCATCCCATTCGATTTACTAACCGTGTGTCTGCGCTGAGTTTCTCTATTTCAGGTGATTTGTTCGCAATATTGTCCTAATGCTTATTTTGTCATCTTATTTTAATAATCTATTAAGTTGCACATACCGCTTAAACGAAATGTAGTTAACGTTGTTTAGTTTTCTCGTTTGTTGAATGTGCTTTTTGATCTCCTGAGCTGCCATCTTGGATCTATCTCGGACATGTTGATAACCCATTTATTGCATTTGGGAATTTAGCGGAGCTATATCGATATATTGGTGCGGCGATTTCGAGCTATTTAATTCGACATTCCATTTCATGTGAGTGGCTATTACTTAACATCCCCAGTGTAGCTGCGCTTGCTGTGCATATTGACAACGTGTCTACCTACCTATTACCCAATACCTCGTTTATACCGGCTTCAGAAGACAGTTGAGCGTTTCTAGAGGGGACGGGGTGCACGGTCCTCGAGGCCGTGCTGGGCTTGAAGAGTGGTTCCATTCATTTTGAAACGAACTACCATCCAGCCACCGCCTTGTGTGCGCTTGCTTTCCCTAATACAGCGTGATTGTGTTTGTTTGTGAAGGAGCATGGGCCGACTTCGTTGATGAAATGTGGCGCCCACCTGCATGCCCCCCGGTCTTATTCCTTCGGGTTTATACTGGATATGGGATGTGGGTTGGAGCTGTGGGTGATGCAGCGCAAGCCACCCCTGGTCCTTCTGTAGACGCAGGCGTCCTGTGGCTGTCCTATGGAGGCCTCAGTGGCAGGCAAATCGGGAACCGGATGTCGCCAACCATATATAGAGAAAGGACTTCCCTTTATTAGCTGACGTTGGGGTGCACAGTTCTACAAGTAATAAAATAATAAATCGATTTTGTATCCTTGACGATTCGAAACATGACAGTATCGTGGATAGTGAAGAGTTTGCTGTTACCTTTAGACAACGCGTAATAGGCTGACTATCACGTTAAGCTATTGTTAATGAAAGCGCAAGTTTATAGTTGCCAAGATCCGACCTATTTTCTCCGTGCAGAGCAGCACTTTAGTTCAAGCGTTACAGAAACATTCCTTTTACAATATTAAAGCGAACAATTCATCCGAGTGGATTTCTTGACGCATCTATATCAGATTACAACTCGGCTTATTCAAATACATAACAACAGTTAATGAAATCTCCGGTGATTTAATATCAGTCATTAGATAAGTGGGAATGTGGAGCTAAACATGTCGCTCAAGATCCTAAATCAACCTGCAAGTATGTACTGGGTAGAGCAACTGTGTTGCAATAATCCAAGTGTTCTATCGCAATCACTGTCACAGTGTCACTGAATTCTTCTCCGGTGCGTCTAATGTTTGAGCACATCATCATCCGCTTCCTTTCTAACATTGTTAAAAATATGGACACATCAGTATATCCGAGTGAGTTATGCACCGACATGGAACAAGAAAGCCTAAAACTAACTACATTACTGAGTTAAGTCGGCAAGTGGTAGAATTACTCCAGCTCCAGTGAGCTTGATCATTGTTTTGCATGGACTGTGTAGGCCAATTGATAGCGAGTCCTAAGTAGTAACATTCTAAGAACTACACCAAAACACTTAAGTGCAATTGGTCTATGAGCAGCCATCTCACAAGTAATCACTACAACTTTAAGAAAGAATGGCCGGGAGCTTTCCTAGTCACCTGACAGTATCTCCACCAGGCGAGAACCAGTTTCTTCAAGCAATTAAGCAGTGGACCGTTCCCATGGAATCCAATCGATCGGACGATATACAGAAGCGCAGTTAGCAGAGCATAGTTTCAGGTCACTTTTGGAAGCATCCACACAGGAAGTGGTCATCTTCAAGCACTTATACAGCAAACGTCACAAGGCCAGTTTAAGGTGATTCAAGCTTTTAAATGCAGTAAACTTAGTATGACAGAGAGCAGTAAATAGGAACCAAGGAAAGTTGCCCTTTTATGGAAAACAGCCATTAGCCACAATAATATTTGTTCTTCAGCGATGATACCAAGTTATAGACGGAAAAGTAAAGTGAATTGTTACAGGATTAGGAAAGTTCCGTAAAAGTATGTGCCGATGTGATAATATTATTACTCTCTTTAACATTTCCAGCTTAGTTGCCAACACAACATATTGGTTGGCTAAAAAATTTATATATGGTGTTCGTTTCTAACGGATTGTAAATAACTAGGTTTTTCATAAGGAAATGATGAAGATTCACCTAGTCCGACAAAAGCGTGATTGGTTGGATCGTTTCGTTACCCTACTCCTCGTAAAGTTGTCAACGCATGTGGATAAGGATCTTGGTGCAAAATTTTGCATAATCAATAAAATTGGTAACTTTCAGGAGGAATATTGACAATTTGAACAGTGCGAATAAATTTTCCTCACTTTTGAGAGTTGATTTTGGTTTGTCTGGTGAAAGTAAATGACCAGGAAGAAATGAAACCGGTTACACTCCTTGCTATGCATACTGGTGTTCAGGATAATCTCTAAGTGGGCGAATCCGATATATTCAAATTGGTAGTCACAAAACACACAGTGTGCTTATATTTGGACTACATGGAGTTACTTGAATTAAAGGAATATCTTGCGTAAGGGAAAATATGAGTTCTGACCGGGTATTTCAGATTCACTAAAAATATATAATTTTCGGTAGTGCGTCACTAAACTTTAAGCGGTAGAAGTACATGCATTACAAATAGGGCGTGAAATGGACTGACAGTGTAGATTATTAGGTGAGGAGCACGGGCAACAAGCCCAAGTTGGATTGCTGAACAGGTGGATATCGCAAAGGTTAACAATTATGTAAACAGACTATAGATGGATAGAGATATCACGCGGGTGGCGGGATAAATTAACCCAACCTATCAGAACATCTTCAAGAGACTGCCTCGGTTTAGAACGAGAAACTTGAGCTAGCAACAGTAGAATCACCGGTTACAAGGACGCGAATCAATCAGGAATTTTCCATGCTAGTTGTATCACTAGAATGACCCTTTGACACTTTGAGCTGTCGGGGCAATAATCCACTAACCCCTGCTATTTCTGGCACTTTCATCCTGACTTGTTATAAAAGCTGACCCGAAGTAGCCCCTGTGTCAAAACGAAACGTATCAGTAAAACAAGCTTATACAAAAACAATTTATGTTGTAAACCCTTCAAAATTGTAAAATTATACTTTCTTTCTGTTCCCCCTTGCTTCACTTCATTTCTGTCCACGCTCTGCTTAATTTATGAGTAAGCAGTGTAATAAAGTCGCCTGGGACGAGTTTTACTCATGCCACCGACTACCGCGTCCACCTGTGGGATCAAATATGCTCCATCTCGGTTCAAACGTGGAAACTAGTTGCATTTGGGTCCGCCAACATTTTTGCGCTATTCCAATCCGTATCCTTTGTTAATATTTCTAGTATCCGAGGCTAATGCGTCAACAACAAGATCGTAGGCGACATACATTGCACCATCTATAGTCCTGTCCGCATTTCCATACCACACCTTATACATGAATATATATGATCATTTGCGGAACGATTGGTTGAGATAGGATAACCTCTTTAAGATTTAGATACATATCTATGACTGCAATAAATTACCAAGATGTGTTTCCAAACCTATAGAACTCTAGGAAATTACTTCATTTGCTAAATAAGATAGTGTCGTGTTATATTTTTAAATATGCCTAAGTCTGCGAAGCATTTTGCCGCGTATTGCACCATTCCGTACTAATGTGCGAGAGACAGAGAGCATACAGTTTAATACATAACATAGGGTAGTAAAGAAATAGGTAACATTATACAGAATCATCTTACCGGCATCTCAAACTTTGCCAGAAAGGAAGCTTGCTGATTGAGAATGACGCCCAGAAGGGAGGCCTCGCTTTTGATGTACTGGAAGGGAGAAATATAGTTGGTTAATCCGGTAGGATAGGTTAAGACGGCCCCTCCTTGTTAGCCCTTTACAGTTTGAATTAGTGAGAGTTACGGATACTTGATCAAGCAGCTGCTCGATTCTGTGACCTCTGTTGCATTCATTCGCGTTTATCCCCAGATATGTGGGAGATGGCACTGTAAGATTTTTTATTTTCTTCCCAACTACGAACCTTAGCTAAAAAATGAAGACAGTTTACCCAAAGACCGAACAAACCGGCGTGGATTTTCGTGAGCTGTCCAGCTGGAGCTCATAGCAGATGTTATTTTGACGCTGGTATCGCCTGTATGAAAGAGTTTAGCACACTAAGAGCAGTAACAACAAAACTTTGGTAGCTGCTTTTTGTGCTGATTGTCAGAAGATAATTTATTTGTGGCGGATATTCTTGTGCGTGAGCTAGTGAGTGATCCAGAAAAATAGCGAGAACTACAAAGGGTGTCATTTGAAGTGTACCTCTCTTCAGTCAACGCATCACAAATGCCACACGGTGGAATACTTCGGTACGATTACTGATTACTGGCTGCAAGCAACAGGAAGAAATATCTCTGTGTAGTTGCATCACTCAGGTACGAAGACCCGTTAGGTTGGAGTGTGCTGCATGTATTTTATATCGACAAAATGTTTGTCCAGGAATTTATCGAATTCTGACACCGACTTTGCATCAATTGCATGCTTTGGCAGAGTGTCCTATACATTTACAAGACTCTGTTCGAAACATAGTTGTTCAGCGACCCGTTTCAAATCAGGTACTACAAGCTTGTACCGGTGTCCTCGTGTACTGCTTGGTGTGCGCATATGCAGCAGTGGCCTCAACATGGGGTAATCACCGAGTAGTATCCGGTACGTCATAATGGGGTCAACCTGCAATTGCCAATAAGAGTGCAAGGCCTTAATCTCGTAAACCGGTCTTCATACGACATACCTCGTAGTTTACTGATAAGTCTGGTGGCCACAAGCTGCAATCCATTCTACCTCGCCCTGGATGATAGGCCACTATAAGCGTGAGCATTGGTCCCGTTATCGAGACGAAGTGGCGATTGAGAATCTCTTCGGACCAAGTGTTGCGCCTGAGCTCCCAAAGCCTACGAAGGCCGTTTCGGTAAAACCTATTCGTCTTGTTCATGGACTTTAGGTAGCAGCATGAGAGTATACCGAGGTTCCTCACGAAATACGCGGGATGCAGTGGTTGACTGGTCATAGTGCAGGTTCGACTGTGCTCACAGTTACCCAACATCATGAAGAGCGACTTAACCGGGTTGATCGAAAGGTTGACCTATGCGGAACACCTAGGGATATGGTCAAGGTCCCGCTGAAGAAGGTCACCGTTTTTGAGTGCGTGGATTACTCTCCCCACCATCAAGACATCTGCAAACAACCCACAAGGTGAACGGAGAAGTTGAGGAACATCATTAAAATGAATAAGAAAAAACGGGGTCCAAGTACAATACCTTGGGACACGCTACTGCTAGCTGGATCCCAGTCGCTCAGATGATTGTCAACCTAGACCCTCTATTATTGACCAACAAGGAAATTCCTGATCCATCGGTGCGGCGAACCCTCTGCACCCTCTGCTTGTGGAGGAGCGTCTCATGACTCACCTTGTCAAAAGCCTTACTGAAGTCGATATGGATGAATTCGACCAGCTTCCTTTGGTTCAGCGCTTGCAACCATTCGTACCTCGTAAACATCAGGTTGGTGATTCATGAGCAATCTTTCATGAAAGAGTGCTGTGCGCGCGTCAAGAGGCTTTTCGACTCGAGAATCTGAAGACAATTCTACTTCACCATTTTCTCAAGCACATTGCCAAAACAACGATCAGGCAGATAAGCCGGTAGTTATCCAGATTGTTTTGGTCATCACCTTTCGGCACTGGCTTTACGACTGAGCATTTCTAATCACTCGATAATGAACCAGTTGATAGTGACATGTTATACAGCTCAGTCACAGTAGGCGAGATGACCGAGAGAGATTTGAGGATCAGTGGATGGATTTCATCTGGTTCGGCAGGCTTCGTGCAGTCAGGACTTGCCAGCAGTTTGCGTATATATCTTCAATCATGAAATCCAGGCGGTACCCGTAGAACTCGGTACAGACACCTGGTTACTTGCAAACACGGAAGCGAAGTGCCTAGCCCATGCGGAAGCAAGGTCTGTGCACAAGTTTAGTGGATATCCAGCTAAGCCTTCCAAAGCTGGCACATTGCCTGCAGACCTCAGGCGCCGCTTCATGTAGACGAAGATCTACTTGGGATCAATTTTGCAGCTGCAAGCTGCTTTTCGAAGTTCAGACACTTCGTGTTTTCACGTTGTTGCAGAGATTTCCCTGTCTTTTGTACGTTTTGCCATCTTCGTCAGAGTCAGACAACACGAATTTACTCTACAGCCTGCGTCGCTGTCGAACCGGTTTATTACACTCCTTATCGAACTAATGTGGCTTGACTGCCCCGACATTCCGATACTTGAGGGGTACAAATCGGGCGCACAACGATTTCACTCTCATTTTAATGATAGTCCAACAGGTTTCCGTAGATGAATCCTTTGGTAACGACCAGTCCACCCGACTCGCTGCTCGAGTGAGGCCATTAAAGTTCGTCTTTCACTAGCTGAGAGCTAAATCCAACGGAGGAGGGTACGACAGCTCGTATAGATCGCCAGCACTTCGGTGAGTGCTCACGAGTCTCCCACACAAGGAAGACCATGGGTAAACAGGAACACCATCGCGATCATTTGATGGTCTATCACAGCGGAAGCACGAGTAGCCGCTGATGTCTAGTTCCTGTTTGTTTACGTAGAAGTTAAACAATGTCTCAGCAAGTTCTAATACGTCTGGCGGATGAGAGGTCACAAAATAGCACAGCTCATCATGTTTGTTCAGCCGACTGTAGGCGTTAGTAAACGCTATACTCAGGTCGCGGTAGGAACCGCCGGGCGCGCTTCAAGCATCAGAAACCTGTTGATACGGATTCGTGGAGGAATCCGGGTAACTACCCGAAAATTTACAATACAGTGATTTTTTCTCCATCGTCCGCGTGGCCCTTTAAATAAATCATCGCAGAATTGATGTCCTCTCTGTTTGATGCATCTAAGTCAGCACACACATGGATCTTTAGACCTTTCAGCCCACTAAGACTGGACAACAGCAACGTGGGCCTTGCCTCTTCAACAACAGTCACACTCATACGACTTTTGCCCGCGGTTCTGTTTCTGAGACGGGTGATTGGTTTCATTTTCAGCCCGCTCTCATCTATGTCGAGCAGTCTATCAATCAGATTTTGCCAGAACTCGACGTGATGTTCATAGCGCACCTGAGGACTTGATTCACAGTTTTCGGGCGGATTGGAAAATCATGAGGTTGCAGCGCCTCCAGTCGCTGGACATTGTTCTCCGCTTCTTTGCGTTTTCCATTCGTCATCACCACTTTGCTTACTGCACCACGGAGCTTTAGCGTCATCCGAAGAAAACACATGCGGCGAAGACGAGCTTAGCGGATTACCAGCCCTTTCTCCGGGGATATAGGAACCGGCGTACTGGGTAGTGGATTCTCTTATTATGGCGCAGAACAAATCGAGCTTCGCGTCTCAGAGCATTTCACTCGACTGATCCGCTTGTTTGGCTTTTCAGCTGTCTTCAGCGCAAACTTGGATTGATATTGTTCACAAACGGTTTTCAGAAATTCTTGCTGGACCTCTCGATTAAGGCGGAATCGGTCAGCGGATAAACCGATGCATTAAATTTGGAACTTTACACCGCAACAGCTGCATATAATCACATTTTCGCGGTGACCGACGATTTTAGAACAACTACTATGGGGATTCTACTGTGCGTTTTCAAAAACAAGTACCGATCGATTCGGTTGAATTACGGAACTAGAGAATAACAAGAACTAGCATCAACTAACATATGTATTTTTGATAAAGTAATTCATAAGCACAAATAATATCGAATTAAACCAAAACACAGAGTTGAAAACAAATTAAGTGTAAAAAACGAGGTAAACCGGCCTGACGGTAATAGCAGCAAAGCGCAACGTGGACGGCGCTATCAATGCTAAAAGTTTCTTTTTATATGAAAACAAGCGTTTGTTTTGATACGATCATCTCGCATATTTGAATGCTGTTACTGTGACCCAGCACAGCAACGCTACCAACCATATTGATATATATATATATATATATATATTCGAATATTGAAGCTGATTTAACAGAATAACAAAGAGTTTGTATATTGCACCGTTGGTCAGCATGACGTAAGCGTCAGAAGTTACAAGAGTTTCGTCTACACCTAAGTTTAAGTTTGGGTGGGACTGAGACCGTAGGAGAATCCGGTGAGCCTTCATTCTTGAGTTGACCGTTAACCTTGGAGTTGATAAGGTCCTCCGAGGTCTTGATAGACAAAGAACGAAACATCCGAATCACACTCTAGTCAACTCATTACTGCACACTTCTCCTGCACTAGTAGTCTTTGCTATGCCAGTTACGTGAAGTAAGCTGGGCATAGGAGGCACAATAGAAGGTAAAGTATCAGAAAGTTTATTTGAACAAAGGCAATGCGTGAAGAAAACTACAGAAAAGAAAGCCGAAGTATGAAGATGGGAGTTGGTCAAGAGATAGGAAAAATTTTGTGTTACCACCGAACAGAGCCTAATTTACGCTCAAACTCCTTAATCATCGATCCCATGACAATAAGTTCTGGAAGAGAGTTCTAGCGCCCTATGACGGCGCGATAGCGGAGTTTCCGCCCTAATCAGTTCGGACAACGGGTTGTCTAGCTCCGTGGAATGCACGCGGAGACCAGAAATTGTAACGGAGCTAAACAACCAAGAAAATTCCAGGCCAATTTTCTCGGTTACAATACTGTAAGTTAAGATTAGGTCTCCTCTCATCCTTCGGTAGTGCAGTGAGTGCATTCCAAAAGTACGTAGGCGCTCAGGGTAAGTCTTTCCACCTAGCTCCTCGGCCAAC